GAGTTTTGATTCGATTCCCTTTAACAATTGTGTTTCAAGAGAATGTGTAATTAACTGTAATCATTTAATCATTCAAATAAATTATTAGGGTGAGTATAAAGCTTAATTAAATTCACTTTAATGATTGTGTTTAATGATATTGATTAACCATAACCATAATCATTCAATCATTCAATAAATTACTAAGGTGAATATGAAGTTTAATTCGATTCTTTAATAATCACGTTTCAAAAGAATGTGTGATTAACCTTATTCATTTGGTGAGTACAAAGATAAATTCGATTCGATTTAACGATTGTGTTTCAAAATATTAATTGATCAATCGTTCAAATAAATAACCAGGGTGAGAATAAGATTTGATTCGATTCTCTTTAACAATTGTATTTCAAGAGAATGTATAATTAACTGTAATCATTTAATCGTTCAAATAAATTATTAGAGTGAATATAAAGCTTAATTAAATTCACTTTAATGATTGTGTTTCATGATATTGTTAGCCATGATCTTTCAATCATTCAATAAATTACCAAGGTGAATATGAAGCTTAATTCGATTATTCAATGATTGCGCTTCAAGAGAATATATGATTAATCGTAATCATTTAATTCAAATAAATTACCAGAGTGAGTACAAAGATTAATTCATTTCGCTTTAACGATTGTATTTTAAGAGAACGTGTGATTAACCATAATCATTCAATCATTCAAATAATTGCCAGGGTGAGAATGAAGTTTAATTTGATTCACTTTAACGACTGTATTTCAAGAGAATATATAATTAATAGTAATCATTTAATCGTTCAAATAAATTACCAGGGTGAGTACGAAGTTTAATTCGATTCGCTTTAACAATTGTATTTCATGATGCTGTTTAACCATAAACATTCAATCGTTCAATAAATTACCAAGGTGAGTACAAAGTTTTAATTCGATTCACCTTAACAACTGTATTTCAAGAGAACGTGTGATTAACCATAATCATTTAATTGTTCAAATAAATTACTGGGTGAATACAAAGATTAATTCGTTTCACTTTAACAATTGTGTTTCAGAGAATGTGTGATTAACCATAATTATTCAATCGTTCAAATAAATTACCAGGGTGAAAACGAAGTTTAATTCGATTCACTTTAACAACTATATTTCAAGAGAATGTAAGATTAACCGTAATTGTTTAATAGTTCAAATAAATTATCAGGGTAAGTAAGAAGTCTAATTTGATTCGTTTAAAGATTGTGTTTCATAATATTGATTAACCATAATCATTCAATCGTTCAATAAATTACCAAAGTGAGTACAAAATTTAATTCAATTCGCCTTAACGACTGTGTTTCAAGAGAACATGTGATTATTCATAATCATTCAATTATTCAATGAATTACCAGGGTGAGTAAAAGTTAATTCAATTCGCTTTAACAATTGTGCTTCAAAGAACGTGTGATTAACTGTAATCATTTAAACCTTCAAATAAATTACTAGGGTGAATATTGAGTTTAAGTCGATTCGCTCTAACGATTGTGTTACAAGACATCGATTAACCATAATCATTCAATCGTACAATAAATTACCAAGGTGAATATGAAGTTAAATTCTATTCACCTTAATGATTATGTTTTAAGGGAATGTGTGATGATAATTCTAATGCAATAAACTCAACTACGACCACATACTTAATCACCGAATAGCAAGTTCTATAATGGAAATTTTTACTTTGAATTATAGTAAAAATTGACAATCTAATACTAACTCAACTGTAACCGCATTAATAAATAATTCCGATGAAACTTATTAAAATTTAATTACATATCACGCATATTGTAATAAATAATAAATTCTGTAAAGAATCTTTAACAGTAATTGATTAAACAAATAAGATGGGTGGCGCGAATGCGCCACCATCGCACTAGTTTAATATAAATTAAAGCGTAATTCGGTTGAAAATTCCAAAATGGCTCAATTATATTAAATAACATGTCAAGACAATTCGAATAACTTTATTAGTTCATGAGTCATTAAAGGTTTGAATTTACTATGTTTTGCCGTCATAAAAATGATCGACAAAAATAAATTGTTATAGGAATTTACTATCGCTATATCATATGCTATCTCACCCCCTAAAGTTACACCTGATCTTAAAATTCGATTGGTCAAAATTACAGGGGTGAACAATTTTGTGGGAACGCTACCAAAAATGAAAAAAAAATAGCTAATGAAATTACGTTCTACACTGCATAAATATTATGAATAATTAATGACGTTATTTACTCGCAACTATATAAAATTGAATGCAAACTCTTAATTAATAGAAAATAGATCATGTCATGTCGCAATAATTACAGATACGTACGTATCTTGTGGATAATCGCCGGAGTGTTGTAATAATTGCCGAATTATCATATTTCAAAGGCTTTCCCGCGCTCAGATCACATTTTTTTTGTATTGGCCAATCAAAACGTTAAGCGCATGAACACAAAATTAGATGCGATTACTTAAACTGATAAACACCAATCAGATTTAATTTAGTCTCCTATTGTTTATCTCACAGTGTTATCTTATAATGTTTATCTATCTGTTGTTGTACCCTGGATTGGGTAATTTGTAAAGGTATTCGGATTATATGTATAACCATCTGACTACCAGATTATCTTCCTAACTATCTAGCTCTCTCCCACCTTATTAATAAAGGACTACTTTTATATATCTACAGTATTCTCATTCTACACCCGATTTAGTTATAATACATTATTAATCAGAGAAATGTAGTAATCAAACTATTACAATAAAATATATCCCACACATGACTATGATGCAACGATTAAGTGTTAACAAAAATTCCCGTGACGCCGTAGCAAATTATAATATAGACCAGCAAATACCTGTGCCGTTGGGAACGGATTTAAAATTTATAGAATATAGTATATATTTACTTGTCACATCATGGTACAAATGAAAGAGTCACCAATCTGTAGTACAAAAATTGCCTGTGATAACTTATATAGATATCAGCCAATCAGATTTAATTTTTGTCTTTATGACGATATTAATTAAAAATCGACCGATTTTTTTATTACTTAATTTCGTTCTGTCTGCATTAATTTAGTGCATGGATAAATTAATCAGTGTTTTAAAATAAGATATTCATGTTCAAAAAATATTGCCTATTAATTTCATTTTGCTCGTATTATTAGTGCACGAGGATAAAAAAAATTTATTCCGCATTTCTATACGATCGTATTACAAGGTTTTATTATAATGATTACTATATAATCAATAAAACCAATTTTCTAGCACCACTTGATAATTCCCGGCTAGCCAAGGAAATGATACGTGTTTTCAAAAACTTATTCTTTCACTAATTAAAGTTGTCACATATTATAAGTCATTAGTTCTCTATCATGGCATCATATAAAACGAAAAATAACACCCTTATTTCCCATTACGGAGAATTAATTTGGCAGATCTCTGGTTATATGAGAGCCCTTCGGTTCTTTATACTTATTAGTTAACGCTAATAATCTTATGCGTATGAACACGTTTATTTTTTAAGTTACTTAGTATAGATTTAATTGGACTTTTTAGATTAAAAAAATCATGCAGCATAATCAAATACGGTAAGGATAGTAATTTAATCTAACTATAATCACCATATATATACATAAATCAGTAAACGTTGATGCTGTACGCACGTACGTACATCAAAAAATCAAAATAACCATAATGCCGCTACTACCTATCCTTACTCTAAAATAAGGCTTCATCCTAACCCCAATAAAACGAAATTCTTTGTGGTACCACTGATGACAAATGAATATTTTGGATTGCAAAATAGTACAATAGTACAATTTGTCATAAAAGATTTAGTTACAATGAAAACATAATGTAAGACTATGCAAATACTGTATCGATGGATTTTTTATTGAATGGACATATTTATCATGGTATTGGTTAAATCCCAGTCGAGCAAACCCTCAATATTATTGAGTCTATATATATATATAATCTTTATCCGTTAATTATTTTTCTGTATCAATGCTCTCTATAAAATTATAATTATATTTGATGATATATATATGTTTTTAAATCGATACTTTGACAAATCTCTTCAAATCTATTTCTCTATTAAAATATTATGATTAATGGCTTCTAACATTATCAAGCTACAATCACCCATTATATTTTATTTATGTGTTCCTCTGAATATTATTTCTCTCACTTCTACTATAACCACATGTGTGGTATTTAGTTTAACACAAATATACTATCCTAATCTTGCAGATAGGGTTTCATTTCGTTTAAGTTTTGCGGCCTCATTATGTGATATAGGTTACTCTAGTCATCTTTTGGTTTTTTTTTTCGGACTACTATGTCAGGTTTTATATGTGGATACTTGGTAAGCTTTCTTTTTCAATATCTCTTTTGATATTCAATAGTTTCTTTTTAACTCTCTTTAACATCCTTTGAATTTTTTTTACACATGAGGCTTGGGCACTTGTATTCTTTACTCTTTCTTCTATATTCTTTATCGTTTGTATAGCTCTGGTATGTATCATAATTATATTTGCTGTGTTCTTTATATATGTTTCATTTATCTTTTATTATTATTATTATTATTATTATTATTATTATTATTATTATTAGAATCTTCATATAATATTCGTAAATGAATATAAAAGTCGGTATAATATTGAAAAATATTATTTTATAATTGCATTTACTTTTGCCCTTTTATTTTCCCTCCTTCCTATTGCCGGTAATATGTATGGCTATGTTGATCCTGAGTATGTATATACATATATTATATGTATTTATTATTTTAAATTTATATTATATTCATGTAAAATTTATTTATATTTTTATTTTTTATATTCATATTTTATTAATATTTATTATAGTGGTTGTTGGTATCGTAATGTGGGTCAAGAAAAAAATTTAATATGGCAATGGGTTACATTTTTTGGTTGGATATATGCGTCTATCTTGTATTGTGCGTTCGTTATAATTATGGTTATCAGAAAACTCAAATCTGTAAAAAAAGAAGTTGATGATAGTGATAATCCCACCGTAATTAATAAGACTGTTATTTCTTCCGTTGTCAGAAGGGTTGTGTGGTACCCTGTAGTGCCATTAGTGGCTCAATTTTTTAGCTCTATTCTTCAAATATATGGTTATGTTAATCATGCTTCTTCTTCTTTACCTCTATTAGTACTTTGCTTCATTGGCATATCACTTCAAGGTGTATATCTGTTATATTTTTTTATTTAACTAGTCTTTGTTTATTCAGTTATAAATGTTTGTTTATTAATCTTTCATCTTAGGATTAATGAATGCTTTAGTATTTTCTCAAGATGTTGCTGTTACTCGTGCTTTCCAGGCAGTTAAACTACATTGGTGGATCTCCTATGTTAACTGTTATGAGTTTCACTACCCTTACCGATCTTATAACAAAGCCATTACCGATGAATCCAGCATGCAAGAAAAAAATAATGGTTTTGTCGACTTGAAAACTCTAAACTCCAATCAGACTGATATTATTTATGATGACATCATCAATGTCGATATTAATAATGAAATTATTATTAACAATGATAATAATGATAATAATAGTCATATTGATAATAGAGTTGACAATAATAATTTAATTTCACAACCTTCTCTTTTAGAATGGTTAAGATATATGCTATTGATTAAGATTTTCTCTGCTCCAAAAACTTCATCTCAATTAGTTTCATCTAACTTTTTACCACCGATAAATTCTTTTGTTAGAAATAAGTCTAATACTTATTCTGCTCTGTTTGGAAATGACAATTCAAAGCAGGATATAGCTCACGACAATCAAAACAATCAAGATATTCATTTAGTTCTTCCTGAATCTGTTCATGTTAAAAATTCTTCTCAAGATTCCCCATTAGATTTATTATCTCATTATTTAAACTTAGATAGTTACAATCAGACTAACCAAACTAAAATAAGTAATATAAGTAATATTTGTGCTTCACCTAATTCTACCACAAACATATCCAACTATACGGTTGGTGCTGATGAAGGACGGATTGATGTTATGCTTGTTAACGATGAACCAACAGATGTTGATTTATCTAAGGAAATTGAAATGTCTAAGCTAATGTTAAAGAGGCTGTAAAATTTCTTTTTATTAGTTTATGCTAGTCTTTCAAAATTATTTGATATTAGACATTTAGGCAATTGGGCATTTTGACAATGTCCAATTGTCCAAAATAATTTGATTGGACGTAGTAAATTTTTTTATTGAACATAAAAAAAAAATTTTTTACTTTGGCCTAAATTAAATTTAATTCGGCCAATATTCACTAATACAAAATTTAAAAGTATACTGATAATTATTATTATTATTTTATAAAACATGCATGCGTACGTACGTATGTACTAGAGTTGCAGGTGAAACTAACTAATTTCACCAGGAAACTGGCGCACCACTGAAGATTAGTTTCACCTATAACTCTAGTTTCACACTAGTTTCACCAGTTTCACATGCAACTCTAGTACGTACGTACGTACGTATTCACACTACCGGATCAACTTAAATTCCATTTTACTTGCATGTTTATATATTTTTTAAAAACTACATACTGATTAATCGAACAGAATGTTAGAAACAGTAAATGATTTGTATTTAAAAGTATTAATGACAGCATGTTGATTTTATTTTTAGTTTTTAAAATAAGGGCATCTTATAAAGGAAAACACACCAAATAAAATAAATTAGCCAAGGTTGACACTTTGAAATAGAAACATGTATTGATAAATTATTATTGTAAATTAAAGAGTAAACACCGTTTATAAAAATAAAATTGATAAACGTCATTATTAAAGTTAAAAGCAATAAAGCTTTTGCCGTCATAATTTTAAAATTGTCCAATAAAATTATTAGAAAATTGGACATATGTCCAAATAATCTTACAATTTTTTCCAATGTAGTGATGGGGAAAATGCGCATTTTATAATACATGCGGATGAATGCACATTAATGCGCATTAATGCGCACGTTATATAAATCGGAAAATATCGGATACTTGCTCAAATTTTACTGCTCTTTTATGTTCATTCATTTTCTTTTCGGAATTTTTCTAGACTTTTGCATGATTTAATCTCGTGATGCAATGACTTGAATGTGACTCAAATAGTTAATTATTATGCGCGTAAGAACTGTAATGATAATAATCGTTTAGTAAATTGAATATAAATTCAAATGTGCAATAAAAAGCATACCTTTGACCCATTCGATTCATAAATCCATTCATTCTTTACACTTTAATTTTATATCTTAATTAGAGATGGGTAAAATGCGCATTTTATAATAAAATGCGCATGAATGCGCATGATACCGCATGATAAAAAATTCTTTATCTTTATTACTGATAATATATCTAAATAAAGATACTACATATTTATCCTGAATCAGATTTTGCCTACATAGATAACTTTTACCAATTATTCGATTGTAAATTTCATAGTTGCTAATCTTATATATTA